CTTAGACGCATATGCATGCACGCATGATGCAAATATTGCATATCGAGTTATTTACGTAATGCAACATAAATTGCCTGTTAAGTGCATATTTAAAAGTTCCAAAATTGGTAGGAAATTGTAAAAATCAGACAACTAGTAATCGCTAGAACCGAGAGCATTGGTGTACTGCAATTAGGGGCTTCGGATGTGCTGATGGTTGTTGACGGCGTGACACATTAAAAATACACTTTCAGTTGTCAAACATATATGACAGCTGCAAGCGTTACAGACTAAATATACATTTAATAAAATGTAATAAATTAAATAGCACATTCTTTTTAAAGCAACGGCAATATATTTATCGTGCTGAATAACAGCCACAACGAAAATATATAATCTGGACTTTGCAATGAAAAACAAAGAAAACAATAAAAAATATAATTACATTTTCGACGCTTCTTTATCTTTCCATCGCAAATCGAGATATAAAAATTTATTGTAAAGTTGCAGCAAAATTATTATTTCTATTTTCTAATACATTTTACTATAAAATCAATATAATTTTGCGTCAATAATAAACTATACATACTAATAAAGTACATTACTCATTCTTGTTTATAACAGTAGATGTTCACTGCAGATACATTTAAAACCCACTGTTATACAAGAATATATGACAATTATTTACTTGATATTTAATAAACTAAAACTAAAAAGTCATGCTGCAAAATAACCAATATATTACTGTAACCATATTGTAGTATACCGCAAGGTACAACTAAAATAATCACGTTCTAGTTAAGACTAGACTAGTGTTAATGTAGAAACAATCAGGTACGTACGATACAAAGCAGTGTATGCGAGTGTACCGCGAGACCGCGACACAGCGCAGAGCTACGACAACAACTAAACAAGGCTCTAACATCAGAACAGTACGTTCATTTGGCAGGGGGTAAATATACCATTACATATTGAAGTCCGGTACCTGAATGCCTCCGGTTAGATCGTAGTAAAGCGAGTTGGGCCCGAGAGCGAGCTCGTCTTCCTGAGTGAGGCATCGACCAAGCGGATCAGTAAGTCTTCACAACACACGCTCTACCACACGTTATGACACAATCGCAGCGGGTGCGGGAGTGCGGGAGTGCGGGAGTGCGGGAG